ATTAGAGACTGGAGACTAGAGACTAGAGACTGGAGACTGGACACTGATATGAATGAACTATCATGCCGTGAGGCATATCGGAATTCATCTCAAATTAATCTATTAGCATTTGTAACGTTCTATTGATTCTAGCAAATTACCGCAACAGGCCATATTGAGGCCAGTGCTCTCCCAAAACGGAAACAAGTCCAGAAGAGTGAGGTACACCGCAAAGTACAAAGTATAGGCTCCGCTCAAAATGCGACCATCGACAATAATCCTACGCCAAAAAATATTGAGACCCATCGACCAAAAAAGAAAAGAAAAAGGCCAAGAGCCAAGAACCCGGCGTACGCTAGCGTCCACAGCAGCCTCAAAAAACGCGTGTTCCCTCCCCGTTCTGCCCTAGATACCATTTGAACTGGTGTTTCAGATTTTAGCCTTGTCAACGTGCGGAAGTTCCCGACTTATCCTACGTACGGAGTACAGAGGCAATTAATTGCGAATCTAAAACACAAATCAAAGTCTCCAAATTTGCCCCCAGTCCATTCCCAGTTGGGAGATCTGCGAGAAGTCTCTCGCTTCTTTTCGAATACTTTCCATCGAGGTTGCTATCGGATTTACCTTCTTTTTTTTCCTCTACTCCGTCCAAGTGGCGCCAAGGATCAATTTGTTCCTTCCTTAGCGTCCAGTGGCCAACGGCAATAATCCGGGGTCATTGCGTCCTGGTAACCTGAATTAGGAAAATTGGAATGGGAATTGCAATTGGTATTTGGTGCTTCGAGTTTGAAGCCCGAGAGGCTGGTACCCGTGCTGGTTTCGGGGTGTTGATAACCCTACTCCGTAGCGGTAGAGGCTGGATCTGCCCACACAACATGACAAGAACTGGGGCTTCGAATAGAATGCACCATTTTTTTTCTCTTTCTCTCAATGGCATGATTATCCAACTCTTTCAATTAACCCACAAACGTACGATGTGCTATGTATGTCCATAGCACGGAGTATTGAGCGCACTCCACACAAGCAATATTTTTTGGCCTCTATCTGAAGCCTCGGTGGTCCCATGTGAAGGACCTCGAATAGTCTTAGTCAATGGCAAACTAGTCCCTGTAGGTCCGCCAAGAGCCGTTGACAGATACACAAGCGCAGAACAGATGGCCGTGAATTCCTTGCGGATCTCTCCACATCTCTTTGTAACATTTACGAAATATTCAGTCTCATATGGTCTGATCTGTCCAAACCCCGAATCCTCTTGAGGCGTGTGCGTTTGTGAAATTGCATTTTCTTTGTGGATTGCAAATTCCAAAATGTGGGTTTGGATGTGTAGAATATGTGCGGTGAATCCTGGTGGACCAAGACGTTTCGCTCAAGCCCACTGCTGCATGGGAGATCCCAACGGTATTCCCGTACCTATCACGAAGCCCTTGCTGCGGACTCTCGGTCTCGGTCCCTGGGGTAAAACTTATTTGATGCTATGCAGATATCGCATCTGGGGTCAACCATGACAGATACACTGGTCAGCCTCTAACAACTGGGCTTAAACTCGGAAATAGGCATGATGATCGCCAAACGGTTTCGCGCATCGCAGACGGGAGCTCTCACACAGACACCCCCATAGTTAACCGCCAGCAACCGATGATAAGTCGGGGAACTGGGAAGACGCTTCCCAGACCAAGCATGGATTTTTTTTTTTTTTTTTTCCAAATCACACCGTCGATTCTTCGAATTAGCGTTCACAGATCGAGTGTGATCTTGCCTCTTTGCTTTTTTCTTTTTCCTGGACAAAGAGTGTGAAATTTGTACTTTGTGCTTGCTCCGTCCCCTTCATCCACTCGGGTCTCCATTCGAGAGCCACTTGGGTCCGGCTTCACTAGAGGGCCTTCCGCGGCCTTTAGCTGGAAACTAAGAGCTGCCCGCCCGCCTCCATATCCATATTCTCCACTCTTGTTGAAACCTGGTGTCGAGGCTAGAAGGGCCGTTAGTAAAAGCTGTTTGGAAATAGCTCCTCTACCGTGTGCAATCTTGGGTTTCTTTCTGGAATTTTCTCGGAACTGTTAGAGTGAAGATCTGGAGGGAAAAGTCCCGATGATCAGAAAAAGTGCAAAGGTGGACTTCAATCCAATAGTGCCTTGCTTCTGGCTTCGGAGCACCGTGTTCTACCATTGTTCTCTAAGCATCGATAGCAAGCCCGTGGGCCTCGCAAAAGCAAAAAAAAAATGTCGATTCGTCTGTGCAACAACGGTGGCGGTAAGGATTCTTGCCCATCACAACGGAAATGGCGAAATTTTTGAGATATTCCCTTACTAAGCGTAATAATAAAAACTGGGACGCAAGGTAATTAGCTTCAATATTCGAAAGTGGACATTAGGATTCTTGAAGAAGGACCTGACAGCCTTCCATGCATGACCCTGTCCAATTCTACGGGAAGTATCTAAGCCTAGCAAGGAAATACTCGAGGCCCGGAGGACCGGGTATCTCCAGTGTGTCTGTTGTACGGAGGACTTGACTGGGGGCTATCTTTGTAGAGTGGGACGGTAATGAATATCGATTAGAGACTCCCCAATTTCCCCAAGTCCACAATGGAGTGATTTGTATGTTTCTGATTGGTGACGGATAAAGACCTGTCTCCGCTGACGCTGACGCTTTGCTTGCGAGTGGATTAGAAGCCAATCAGAGGGACACACTATCTTTAGAAGCGGCCAATTACGCGTTGAGATGCTCCGGGTCCCCGACATCATTGAGCAGCGGGATATTACTTTTTTTCCTGGTCTGGACTCGAGGGGAAAAAAAAGGGACCATGAAAGATTCCCAAAGATTTGGAAGAGAAAATTTGGAAGATTTGCATGGTTTAGGTGGATAGTTTATTTCTAATGTGAAGTGCCACGACTTGGTAAGAATAGAACTGGACCTTGCTTGCGTGGCCACTTTGCTGTATGTCATTGGGCTGTATTAGTCGATATGTCGGATTGTGTATCTGCTGGTGCTTCCAAGGTACCTGAGGGGGATGAGATGGATCACAGTTAATACATACTACTTTGCAAGTAATAGTAATCAATGTTTTATCGCTGACACTACTAAGCACACTCTTTCCCCCGGATCTACAGGTCAGGTCCGTGAGACAAGAAAAAGTGCTATCACATCACCCTGCAATCGGAACACATCACCTAGCGACCATGGCTAGGTCATTAATCCAATAAGATGCATCATAGGTGAGACTATTCAGCACATCAAGACACTGGAATTTGGGGCAAAATAAGCACACTTATTAGCTTTAGTTACGTCCATACCTTAGATAGTCCGGGGGACACTCCAATCAATTGATTTAGGGCAACCGGGACCTCCATCCGGCAAACCCTCGATGGGTTGGGCTACAAAGGAAACTGCACCAACTGCATCTGAGCCTTGCCTTTTCCTGAGAGCCAAGGACCCAATAAGCGTGTGAGATGCACCTGTGTGATTTTGCCCTCCCCACAGCTGGTTCCTGCAGTAGACCGCACAAGTGAATTGGAATCTCGCAGCCTACTTGGGCTTGCATATACAACATAATTTTCTTTTTCCTTCTGTTCTGCCTGGATATTGAAATCTGATGCCATTGACGTGTACAATGTGGAATTTGTTTGTATGGGTCATGGCATGGCCCTTGCAGCGACCGGAAAGAAACACGCTGTTTACTTACAACATAGGTCCCATGTGGCAAAAGAGCAAACTACAAACTGTATCCATATATGCGAACTCTGGAGAAGCACGTTATACTCCATACAATATCCGATTTTTGATCTGGATTTGAGACTATGTACATAGTTGATGGGGGGGGGTTCTTGTCGGGGTCATCTTTTTGCGGTCACCGAGGTATGGGCTGGATCATATGAAATTGGGTACAAATGGTATTTCGCAACAGCCAATGCCGACCGTTTTACGATCGAAGTCAGAAGGTTGCACGGTGGTCGCCACCGTAGTCTGATCGGCGAGTCCTGAGCGACTTAGGATGTGCAGCTCCAGTTGGTTACTGATTGGCTCTTGGGGTTCCCACCTGTTGATCGCTATGCCGCGAGGGAAAATGGTCGAGGTCTTTTCAAATCATTAGTCCATACAACATAGGTACTCCCGGGTAACTGTAGACGGGATGCGTGGGCCTCTCTTACTTCCGGGCTATTGGTCCCCGAAGTGATGAGAAAGAAGGGTTTCTGGGTTTCAAGCCTTCTTATTTGTCCGACATTGCGATAAGACTAAACGAGTAACTGATTGTCACTGTCATCTAAGCCAAGGCTCAATTTTTAGTCTTGGACTACATACCCAAGGGACTATGTTCGAAGTGTCGCTTGTATTTTCAGAATTTCCAGAGCTATATACGAAATCAAATGTCCATATCTTCCGTATAGATTACCATAACGCCATACTTGGAAAATAAAATAAAATCCGGGATCCACTCCAGTCACTAAAGTCCTCCAATGCGATTGGTCGCTTTGGACGGGACTGAGCACTTTTGATGTGCAGTGTCTTTCCCAATCCCGCCCCGGACTGGATATGGGATATTTCCTTTTTATCATTTTATATTTCTTGAGACAAATTAATTCAAAAAAAAAAGGAAAAGAAAAAAAGCACCCGGTTCCTGGCCCACACCTCAACTAGTGACCCGGCAAGTAGAAAATAGTAGATCACTCTCATTTATCCACCGCAACCTGCTATCTTTCCCTGCTCTCTTTTATTTTTCCCCGCTGTCTATTTTTCTTATACTCACACTCTCTTTTTCTATTTTTTTCTGATTTTAACTATTTTGGGGTTCCATCCTTTCTATATCACTCTCCTTCCTCTTGTCTCCCGGTTCCTCAGAACCTGTCCTTCCTTATTCGACACTCATTACACCTAATCGTCCATTCATTCATTCGGACTTGAAGCACTTATAATCCTACTAATCTGACCCAACTTTCTCAATTGGAAACTCAAATCTCATACAGGTATGTGTATATATATATGTATGTATACCTTTCGTTGGTTCTAACACAGGATTAGCACAACTCACCATGGACTCAACATATATGGCACCCACTTCGGTGCAAGGCCCATTCGCATACTACCACGACTCACAGAGACAAGGTCACTACCAGTCAGACCTCCCATACTACAACCAAATGCAGTATGAGCAACCACTCTACTCCCCTCAGCCCATGATGAACATGCACCAGATGGCCACCACCAATGCCTTCCGGGGAGCTACCATGAGCTTGACGCCAATTGCCTCGCCCCAGCCCTCGCAAATGAAGCCCACCATCATTGTGCAACAAGGCTCTCCTTCGTTGATGCCTTTGGATACTCGCTTTATCGGTCACGATCTGTACTCCTTCCCATCCACTCCTCCGCTGTCCGCCTCGGGAAGTACCATCAGCAGCCCCCCATCTGCCCATGGCGCGCTACCAACCCCGATTCATGACACGTTCTTCACCTTTGACAAGGTCGAGGGAGTCAAGGAGGGATGCGAGACCGATGTTCACCAGGAAATCCTAGCCACACCCGAGTGGGCGCGCTCTGACTCGCCTCCGATGACGCCTGGTAAGTTTTTATAGATCACACTTTGATATGAATTGTGGATATCGGGAAGCAAGGGCGAAAAGGCTAATTACGATGCAGTCTTCATTCACCCACCTTCTCTAACTCACATCCATTCTTCCGACCTTTTGTCTGCAACTTCCTGCCCCTCGCTTTCCCCATCCCCCCTCACCCGTGCCCACCGACATTCTTGCCTCCCAGTCTCTTGGGTCTAGCCAGTCTTTCTGTGACCCCCGCCAGCTCACCGTTGAGCCGTGTGTCAATGTTCACGCACAGGATCTTCCTCCTTTACCGAATCTCTCATGTGAGGAGGAGGAACCTCGCGCCGTCGTTGGCAGTGCGTCTGTGACGCTCCCAGTCAACGAGAACCCGTCTCCTTCTTTCAGCTCCTCGACTCAGGACCCGCTGAGCTCGCTGCCCACTTTTGACAGCTTCTCTGATCTTGATTCTGATGACGAGCTCAATCGTCTGGTGGAATTCCATCCTGCCGCCAATGCCATCTACATGGGTGACAAGCGCCAGCGTATGCACGCCTACCCCGTAGAGGATGATGGATTCCTGAGCGAGCACAGCCTCGAAGACTCGGATGACTCCGAGACTTTCATGCCCAATAACGGTTTGCCCTCATTCGAGTGGACCCAGACGGCTCAGCCGCAGATCGAAAGCGAGGAGGAACCCATCGAGGAGCCCAAGACCAAGAAGCGTAGCAACCGCAAGTCCCGAAAGATCACCGCCGACGAAGAGGCCGAAGCAAAGGCGCTGGCCGCCTGTGAGTCCTCTGGCGACTGCTGCTCTGACGATGGATCGGTGGATGACTCAGAATCTGCGCCCATCTCGGTCAACCGTCGGGGTCGCAAGCAGTCTTTGACTGAGGATCCTTCCAAGACTTTCGTTTGCACTCTGTGCTCCCGTCGCTTCCGTCGTCAGGAACACTTGAAGCGCCATTACCGCTCTCTTCACACTCAGGACAAGCCTTTCGAGTGCAACGAGTGTGGCAAGAAGTTCTCCCGCAGTGACAACCTCGCTCAGCACGCCCGCACCCACGGTGGTGGCTCCATTGTCATGGGCATCCTGGACGCAAGTGATGCTGGTTCTGTATCATTTGATGATCAACATGATGCTGGTGCCCTTGGCCAAGTCATGTACGAGGCTGCCCGGTCGACGGAAATCACCAGTGCCCCCTCTGTGGATCGCCGAACAGCGAAGAAGCGCAAGCGTGACTTGTCCTAAGGGACTTTGCGTTTCATGATTATTTTTTTACGAGACCAAGAGACTTCCTCCTGCATATATAATACACACATTCTTCGGTCGGAGTCTTTTATTGGAAGCTCGATCATATTGGTCTTTGGGTTTGGCGTCCGGGCATTTACACTGGTGTCGGGAAACTGGATCATCGGTGCACAGCAACTTGGGTTCCCTTTTTATCTTTCCAGCGTTTTGACACATCGCACGGGGAACACACTGGGATAACTTCCAATCGATTCTTTTGGTGAAGGCACATGGGCGCAGAACAGTCCAGGGAGAAAAAAAAAACGAAATATAAAGCGAATGGCCTCTATCTTTTGATAGTGCCTGGGGATGGTGTGGAATTATTTCCTTTGTCACCTTGTTTTTTTTTGCTCTTTTTTTCTTTTGTTATGTTTGTTCTCTCCAATCTCTCCTGGACCATCACTTTCGGCGTGAGCAATGTGCCTCACACTTTTGAACCTTTGGGTTTCTTCCATTCGTGTACCCTGTTTACTTCGCTTCTCTGTGACTTTTTCCCTCTTTTTTTTTTCTCTTCCACCGTTTCGTTCATGCTTGTTTCTGTCTATTCGATGTAATATTTTTTGGTACCTTTTTTTTGATCTTTTATCTGCTTTGTGCTGGTCACATTCGTGTATAAGTTAATTGACCCCCTATTTGCCCTTATTTTTTTTTTCATACCCTCTTGTATTGCAACGCCCGTTTGTGTTGGTTACAGGTCACATCTTTTAGATGTTGATTTACATACATCAAATTACAAGAATTATCTTACTCTCTTTGAACCTGAACAGTGTAGTAAGAGTAAAGGAGAATTCGGGTTTTTGGCCCACATCTTCTAACATGATGGACAAGCCATGCTCCATCCATGTTCATTCCCTAGGATTCCTCAAGATGTACCTCCCATCTTATCGGTCTATCGATTGTCGATAGATTCACCCGGGCAAAGGTGGGGACGGCAAAAAGTACCCCCCGCCCATCAAACCCGCACCCATCCAAATCTGCGAAAACTTGGACTCTAGAACTCTGGGGATACAGTCATGTCTTCACAACCTTCAGCCCCAGGGCTTAACGTGATCGCCTTGATCTCCGGCGGAAAAGATTCCCTCTACTCGATCCTCCACTGCATTCGCAACGGCCATAAAGTGGTCGCCTTAGCCAACCTCTACCCAGAACCGCAGAACAAGAGGAATCCCGAAGATGAAGAAGAAGACATCGATAGCTTCATGTACCAAACCATCGGTCACAGCATAATCCCTCTCTACGAAACAGCCCTCCAAATACCCCTCTACCGCCAACCCATCACAGGCGGCGCAGTCGACACATCCCGCATCTATGGAACCAAAACAACCGATGAAGATGAGACCGAATCTCTCGTCCCGCTCCTGACCCGCATAAAACAAGCCCATCCAGAAGCAAACGCCGTCTCTGCAGGTGCTATCCTCTCTACATACCAGCGCACACGAATTGAGAACGTCGCTAACCGTCTGGGCCTGGTACCCCTCGCTTGGCTATGGATGTATCCGTCACTTCCAGCTCCCATTGCCAGATCGGTAGATACTCTGGCAATACGCCAGGCGGGGCTCTTGGAGGATATGGCAGCCGCCAGATGCGATGCTCGTATTATCAAGGTCGCCTCCGGTGGTCTGGACGAGGGCTTTCTGTGGGAGAATGTGTCCGGTGCTGGGAGTGGTGGCCGCATGATGCGAAGGTGTCTTGTTAAGGCTATGAGTCGGTTTGCGGCTGCGGAAGATATCCGTGGTGCGGTGTTGGGTGAAGGCGGAGAGTATGAGACGCTTGCGCTGGATGGGCCTGGTTTCTTGTGGAAGCAGAGGATTGAGGTTGGTAGCCGGGAGGAGAAGGCTGGGGAAGGGGGTGTTGCGTTTGTTAGATTGAGGGGTGCTAGGTGTACGGCTAAGAGCTCGTGGGAGATTGGCGATGGGGTTGCGCCGAGTGATATTAGGAGACCCGGAGTTTTAGATGCAGTCTTCGAGGGTGTGTTGGGATCTGCATTGGATCTTTCCGAGTCAATTGATGATTCGAACTGGCGTGCGTTGACGAGTACTGCTCGGTCGCCAGATTGGCCTGTCTGTGAGCCGGTCCATCGGCTGTCTGGTTCTACGTGGACTATTTCAAATATTGTTGCCCCCGAGGCTGGTCCCGGGGCAGGTGAGCAGATGAAAGCGATTTCAGATAAGGTTGAGAAAGTACTCAAGTCCTTTGCTCATCCCAAGTCGGGTTCCCGATCAACAGACGACATTGTTTTCGCTACGGTGCTTTTGAATTCAATGGCCGACTTTGGATCAATGAATGATATTTACGTCTCACTATTCAAGAAACCAAACCCCCCCGCACGAGTTACAGTGGCATGCGGAGACCGACTCCCGTCCAACGTCAAGGTGATGGTCACATTTGTGGTCGACCTGGGGGCGAGAGATCGGCGCCAGGCCCTGCATGTTCAATCCAGGTCATACTGGGCCCCCGCAAATATTGGACCATATTCCCAAGCGTTGTCAGTTCCGCTACAGAACGCTAGCAAACTCGTTTACATTGCTGGCCAGATTCCTCTAGACCCTGCTTCTATGGACTTGGCGCAAGTGGAGGGGCCGGGCTCATGGCTTGAAAATTACCGTCTTCGAGCTGTACTGTCCCTTCAGCACCTCTGGAGAATTGGTGAAGCCATGCAGGTAAACTGGTGGCTCGGTGCGGTGGCCTTCTTGGCGCGCGGAGAACACGCTAATACCCAAGCGCAAGTCGCATGGCGCCTCTGGGAAAGAATGCATGCTTTGCCAGATAATGAAGATGAGGATGACGACGATGGGCCACAGCTGGATGCGTGGGATATCAAATATGGCCGCCAGGCAGAGGAGCTGACCGATGCCCCTGTGCCGAGCCTGCCCAAGTTTACTGCTCTTGTTGAGTCTCACACTTGCATTCCACCATTCTTGGCTGTTCAAGTGGACGAACTACCAAGAGGAAGTGATATTGAATGGCAAGGGCTGGGAGGTCGATGTGAGCAGGTCAAGCTCGACATTAAAGGTGGGACATCTTCAACTACCATGGACAATCATTACAAGTATACCAATATCGAGATCGACGCGGGTTCGTCGGACGATACATTGAAGCAAATATTGAGATCAGTGAAAGAGGCCCACTGTCGAGATTCCAGTCTATCTCAGGCTGTATTATACATCACACACGCAGTGCCCGAAGCCTTATGGCCAGGGCAGGTTGTGCCATGCAGATCCGTATGGGGGCGAGAAGGACGAAGGTTGAGTGCAGGTGTGGTCCTGCAGCAGCTTAGTTAGGAACTATTTAACAAAGAATAAAGCGACTGGATTTGACAAAATATCAAACTCAATAATAATCAGCGATCAGAGATCGTCGATCGTCCGCGTTATGCTCTGTACATCAATGTACGGCGCGCACTGTCCGCCAGCATGTGATAGGCAAAATCCCTTCCGCATTCAGGAAAGATAGCAACAGTCATTCTCCCTCTGCCACGTTTTCAATATTTCCCGACACCCAAAATAAACGGGATTGAATTGTTAGGTATTCCACTCTTTTCTCGGGAGTCCTCTTGTCCTCCATATACACTGTACATCACTATCCCACCACGACATGACGTATTCATCGACATAAGCATGGCGCCATGAGTTCGCCGTGGAAAGAAGAACAAGAAGCGACGCCTCGCAGCAGCATACCTCTAACCCCCGAAGCGTTCGCCGAGGACGTCCGATTATTCAATCGCTCCCCCCATCCATATCACAGAAGCCGGCGGCTCGGATCATGCACTCCCTCCGAGCACGGCGACCGTCTCCACCCGCCCTCCTCGTACTCCAGATCCTCGCGAACAACCAGCGACAGTGGTACAGAGGCAGATGATGAAAGCACCGGTGTTCTAAGGGGACTACCTGCCCCCCCCACCCCATCCTCGAAAAGGCCTACGATCTGGCGGGGTTGGTCCAACTGAGGTCGACTCATGGCTACCTGGCATGCAACCATGGCCATCATTTGTGCGACCTATGCTCCGGCCATCGCGGCGGAGCTCGGAGGAGGAACTTGAGGAAGAGGCATTTGAGGAGAGACTGCGGTTTAGACGCGAGAGACGGGTAGAGGTCCTCCGGCGGTTGATGGAGGCTACGCTTCTGCTGTCTGTGGGTGGTGTGGTCTTGTACCAAGACGGAGCGCGCTCTTTAGCTTGGGAATGGCGAAAGGGTACGTGGAAAACGGAATTTGATATCACCAAGAAAGTGGACTGCGCTGATTGATTTGCAGAGATTGCCGCTCATGGCCTCGTGGTCTTGGGACTCTATGGCGCCTATCCGCTCGTTGTTCGTGCATCGCAGGGCCGAAGCTGGCGCATTTGGCGCATCTGGTCTACGAAACGGACATACTTCTTTATCCCCTCGAGCTTCGATCCGGCTCCTCTTCTCTATCCGATTCTTATCCCCATCTTCGTTTCGTTGTCGCTGTCCAACCATCTTCCGCCACTTATCATGCCTAATATCATCCTCAGCCTGTCCTCTTTACCGGCGCCTCTTATACCATTTCAGACCAAAACTAATGGATTCAATACCCTCCATTGGATGGTCTCGATGATTCCCATTCTTGTTGCAGAACATTTCTCCCTGGACCACACAGTGCCCAAACCACTGACGCTTCGCGGGCTCGACGCGGAATTTTTAATCCTTCTTTTCCCTTTGCATCAAGCGTTGATACCCACTTTAGACTTTTTGTTGACGACCAGCATTCTTCCTGCTGAGCTGCAGCTTTTGACAACTGCTTTGATCAATTTGTACTTGTTTGCGGCCTCTCCCCAGATGGAGATACTAAAAGCCTTGTTATGGCTTGGTGGCATGTGTTTGTTTGCTTCTTGTCGACATATACTGCGTTGGGAGGTCTCTTTAGCCAGAATTCCTAGCTGGAAATTCCGCCGTGCCCCGCACGGTTCGCACTTCTTCCGCAAATTCTTGAACATGATGGACCATCGACTTTGCGAGAAGTTGAGTCGAACGGGGCACGTTCCATCGGACGATGCTTCGTCGGACAGTGATGGGCCCAATGGGTTCCCGTTTTTAAGACCGCGCAAGACGAAGACTACGCGGGAGAGTCGCTCTTCCCACCCGCCGGCAGAGCCAGCATCTGCGGTTTACAAGATCACAACGGAAGAGCTATTCGAGCGGCATGCCCGCAATGTGCATCGACGACGCCATACCATATCTGCATTTGATGAAGTTGTTCGAGAGGAACGTGTTCGCACTACTCCTGGTGGTAGACGCAAGAAAATGATGGGTCCTGGTCTGGCCTCCTTCCTCTCGCTCACTTCAGCCCAGGCGCAGGTCCGCAAATGGCTGTACGCCTTTTACGTTTATGTTTTGTGCCTGATCATCATCCTTGGACCCATCCGAAAGTACGTAGCAGAGCACGCACTGCAAGGCCAGGATCCGTTTGGCTGGGCTATAGGCTATCTTTTTGGGAATTTCTCGAAGATCCGCTTTTGGGTCCTCATGTTGAACCTTGAGTACTGGATTCAACTGCCACCTCGCCCTGATGCCGATATTTTGAGTGCGTCCTGCTTCCTCGGGTCGGTGGAACACATTCGCCAGGTCACCTTTGGGGCGGCGATCACCCGACTGCTACTCAGTGGCTACTGCGTGTTGGTACTGCTGACAGGCCTGGCCATCGTTGTTAAACTCACCTCTGTTGCCGAAGTCGATACGCGCCGCAAGATTTTCCACGGCATGATGGTGCTTATGTTCCTTCCTGCTATATTTGTGGATCCAGCCTTCTGCGCCATGGCGCTAGCCTTGGTTCTATCCATCTTCCTTCTATTAGACCTGTTTCGCGCCTCTCAGCTACCTCCAATTTCGCGACCTCTCACTTATTTCCTGGCCCCGTATGTTGACGGCCGTGATCACCGTGGCCCGGTCATCATCTCACACATCTTCTTGTTAATTGGATGTTCGATACCCCTTTGGCTGTCGCTTTCCGATCTTCCTCGGACTGGCCTAGGCCCCTGGGCTGGTTGGGAGATCCCGTCACGAGATGTGAGCATGGCCAGCGGAGTTATCTGTGTTGGCATGGGCGACGCGGCCGCATCGCTTGTTGGCCGAAGGTACGGTCGGCTGAAATGGTTCTGGGGTGGCGGCAAATCACTTGAAGGCAGCGTAGCGTTTGTCGCAGCTGTAACCTGCGGACTAATTGCGGTTCGTGCCTGGTTGGTGCTCGGTGGTTGGCCCGTGTCTGGGCTCGAATCAACCGAAGGGACAGCCTTCTCCGCTCACTTCTGGGCCAGTACTTTGCTCAAGGCGGTTCTGGCGGCAGCCGGAACGAGCGCCACCGAGGCGATACTCACTGGCTGTAATGACAACGTCGTGGTCCCAGTGGTGTTATGGTTGCTGGTGCGGGGTCTCGGCGTCTGATTTGCCACGTTGATGTATATAACTGCGCGACTTGTTTGCTTTTCATTTCTTGCCCTTGTTGTTTGTTTCCTTTTTGCTCGGAGGTTTGCGCGTGATTATCTGCCTATCATATTCCTGCTTCCTGCGGCATTTGTATAGTATAGTGGGGCACATAGCCTGAGGATGTATAGATTGACCTCGACTACTCAACGAGAGACCGTTTTTGGATGCCTATACTAGCGGCGCGTTATTGCATATCTGCCTTGCCTTAGCTTGCCCCCCTTTTTCCTCAATTCGACTAACTGCTGCGCCATGACTGGGACTCATAGGCTGCAGATAAGCTTCCGTCACCATACAGTTTCACCAGGTTTTGTGATCAGTCACCTTGCAACCTTGCACAGGCAGATGCGTGAATATTGAGGAATACATATGTACGGAGTAGAGGAGCCTTGACAGAGCCCAGACACTATATATTGAGTCATGCCCCACAGAATATGTTGTTTACCCACAAGTCTCCGGTACCTTGTGAGGACTACTGGAGATCTCGGTATCTGTGCCGATCTCGGCCTTATCTAATCGATAAGCACATGACCTCCAGGGCTATATCTTTCTGATTTGGACTTCTGTTCGCAGTTTGATGTTTTGAAGAGGGTTGTATTCTAAATTTCTCATAATTTCGATCCCTTTTAACCATCATTTGTCTACCACCTATCCCTTGCTTTAGATTTCTAAGCTTCTTCCCATACGTTTTCATCTTATCGGGAATTCCAGATCTCCGCCCTTCTGACCGCCTTACGCGATCATCGCCGCTTGTCACTCGTTATCGTTGGGTCACACCCCCAATCGTGGAGTACCCTTGGGTCTTGGGGTTCTCTTCCCGCGTCCATCATCACATCATCTTGCTCTTCCATGAGAACTATCATTTCGCCCCTTTAGATCTTTGGTTCTCTATTATACTCGAATCTCCAACCATCCCCCCTCATTTGGCTATTCTGCATCAACATCTTTCACCGCTTTAAGTGTTTTGGATCAACGTTTGTTTGCTTCCCTCAAGTACATCCTCTACATCGACAGCATCTCTTATAATCTACCCGGGTTGACCGGTCTCGTCCCACGGCACCCCTTGAAAGTACCTTCCCAGACCCATTCTCCCGGTGGTTCCTCGACCCTTCCAGGCTTCCCGGAAGTAGCGTCATTCTTTGCATAGCTACCCTGATGGGCCTCTCGACTCGAACGTTTACATTGCTGCTGAGGTAGTTGTGGTTGCTGGGGTGTGACTGGGTATCTATTCCCCCAGCGCAAGTCTACCAGAGACAGAACAGGCATTGGCGTGCCCATCGCCGTCATGGCGACTCATAACTCAAGGAGATCGCGTGAGCCCTCTCGTCCAGAAATGTCTATCGGTCGCTATACGCGGCTCGATGAAATCGGGCGAGGTAGTTTCGCGACGGTCTATCAAGGTCTTCATACGGTGAGTCGTGCCTTATTCTCATATGTTGAGTGATGAATGCTAATCGGTTGTGGTCACACAGAAAACAAAAACATATGTAGCTATCAAGTCCGTAAACTTGTCGAAGCTCAACAAAAAGCTCAAGGAGAACCTTTCGTCCGAGATCGATATCCTCAAGGGCCTCCAGCATCCACATATTGTGGCCCTGATCGACTGTCATGAATCAACCTCTCACATCCACTTGGTTATGGAATACTGTGCGCTGGGGGATCTTTCTCTATTCATCAAGCGCCGAGATACTCTTGGATCACATAAATACACTCGGGATATGATTGCAAAGTATCCAAATGCACCCGGCGCCTCGCTCAATGAGGTGGTCACCCGGCACTTCCTCAAACAACTGTCAAGCGCACTGAAATTCCTACGTGACCGAAACCTCATTCATCGAGATATCAAACCACAGAATCTTTTGTTGTGTCCCTCACCTTCGTCGTATCGGAATGGAGCTGCCCAGGTGATTCCCTATAAAGGCAGCGATGATTCTTACGAGCCCATGACTGGACTCGAGTCCCTCCCCATGCTCAAAATCGCAGATTTCGGCTTTGCTCGATCTCTACCCGCCACTTCACTAGCAGAGACACTTTGTGGATCTCCGTTGTACATGGCGCCAGAGATTCTTCGGTATGAGAAGTATGATGCCAAAGCCGACTTGTGGTCGGTAGGTACTGTGCTCTACGAGATGGTAGTGGGCCGACCCCCGTTCCGAGCTACAAATCACGTCGAGTTGCTGCGAAAGATTGAGAAGGGAGAAGATCGAATCCGCTTCCCTGAAGATAACCCCGCTTCAGACGACATTAAAAGGCTAATTCGAGGTCTTCTGAAACGGAACCCAGTGGAGCGATTAAACTTCCCCGATTTTTTCAACAGCAATGTGATAAAGGATCCAATTCCTGGCTTGGTGGCGGATGACGCTCCAAAGCCACAACAATCGCCCCATCCGAGACAGCTTGTCGCGAAGACCGAAGAATCTCCTTATGATACAGGGCCAGAGGACAAACTTGTATATCCTCTCGGCCAAAGACCTGTTTCAACGCGTCGAAAATCAGGAACGCCACCAAC